ATCGCTCAGGCTAGAGAGCCAAGAGAGCACAAGAAGGTCAAACATGTCCAAAGGCGATTTCACATGATAAGGGAATGGAAATCCGAAGGTGAAATCAGAATTTGCAAGATCGGCACGGATGATAATGTGGCCGATCCTTTGACTAAACCTCTGCCTTAAGTGAAACACAACAAGCACGTTGAGGCAATGGGAATCAAGCACGTTCGAGACTGGCTTTAAAATTCCCTGTACATGTGTTTTAATTAAATTGGTTGTTTTAATGTAAGACACTGTACTGAAACCATTCATTAATGGAGTAATTAATTTTAATGCAAAATTATTTTTCACTCCATTGCTATTTAATTGTGGTTTAGAATTAAATAACGAATCCATTCGATTTATGGAAATATTCAAAACAGGGTATCAAGACCATGTCTTGGATAAAGAAACACCTGTTAAGTGAATGTTGAATATTTAAATCGAAAATTATCCCTAATCGAGGTCATCTAAATGATGGACGATTGATGACCACCAGAGATTAGTGTGTAGTATGATTTACAACACCGTTTCTTGTGCTGCAAGGACATGATGGTCATAAATCATTTGCAAAGGTGCCAGTTCGGAACTGCACTGGATCGACCTATGAGAGTACTTTAAGAGATTCAAAATTGTCATAAGTACATTTCTCATTATAACTATCAGAACTCGTTTCCTCGACCATGAGTATTGTGAAGTTTTCTTGTTTGAGTACCAGTCTCTTTGATGTTGCCAAACGTCTGCCGTAACTGGAGATCATAACGGGAACACTCAGGAGATTAGTTCCTCTTAGTAAGAGAAACTTACAATGCAAGACTGGGAATGTCCCCCTATTAACAATAGGGAACATGTCTTTGTTGTTTACAAGGTTGCTCGAGGAGCGAGACTGTGAAAATGCATGGCCGTGCTCAGATGGATTTTAGAAATCATCTGCTAATTGGCAGTCGAACTCGGAGATCGAGAAACACTTCTGAACGTAATAAGGATGACGATGAATCTTACCTTATAGTTCACAAAGAGACATTAAGCGACATAGGAAATGGGTTATACACTGGATGCACACTTGTCCGAAAGGACAAGTGGGAGATTGAAAGGAATGGTGTCTTTCCATCAAGTGTATTATTTTGATAGAGGGTTCAGAATTACTACAGAGCTAATTCTTCAGTAAGGTCAAGTGAGTGGAATGCCTAGGTGGAGGCCGCTTCCGATCAGTAATATTAAGGTATAATTAATATTACAGCTTAATCTTAACTGAACCCTTCGGGTTGAACCCAATCGAACAACCGATTTGAGACGACGAATTAATCCGAAGGATTTAATGGGTCGTCGGAGTTTTACGAACACAAACGTCGGATATCGAGCCTAGGGCGTCGAGACTGAGCGTCGCAAAATCACAAGCAACAAGTACGAGCATAGCCGTAGCATCACATTGGCCTAGCCATGTGAAGTGCTAGGCTAGGCTAGCTCATCGCAAGCCTAGGCGCACTATGTGTGTGCTAGGCGCACCATGGTGTGCTAGGCGAGGCATGAGTGCTAGGCGCACTAGGCTGCCCATCGCAACGCCATGTGCGTGTGTGCGTGCCTTCGCATGGCACAGCAGCACCGCAACGTGTGTGCCTGGGTGCCTAGGCGCCATCGCAGGCCACATGCACCAAGCACATCCATCGCAGTGCTGGGCACTTGCATGTGTGTGCGTGTGCGTGTGTGTCTCGCACCATCGCAACAACAGCCTCACACAGCAGCACCATGCCAGGCATTGCCCTGTGCATGTGCGTGTGTGAGTGCTAGTGCATGCTAGCTATAAGAGAGGGTAGTGCATGCTGGCCAGCAAGCAGCAGCAGCGAAGGGAGCTTCGCCCAGCGCCCAACAACCCAGCAGCATGCGTAGCTCGCTAGCAGCACGCATGTGTTGGCTGGTGCGCATTGCGTGCTTGGCAGTGATGCTGTGCGTGCTAGTCATGCCAGCTGGTGCATGCTGGCGTGATAGTGGCTGCCAGCACAGCCATTGCTTGAGGCGGTTTGAGGTGAGTGGGGACCAAAGGCTTGGAGCATGCCTTGGGGAGCAAGGCAATGGTCCCCCCTCCCCAAGGTTCATGGTCCTCACCTAACTCTCTCTCTCTCCCCTTGACACTTGTTGCATTGTGATTGAATTTAATTAATTATTTAATTTAGAATTAAATAAATTAATGCTTTTGCACATGATCCCACATTGATCATGAACAAGGGTTTCAAGTCTCTTTTCCCTATAAATACCAAGGGTTTGGAATTTGGGAAAGAATATACTTGAGTTGAAAAGTAAAGGAAACTCCATTGTTGAGCATACATTGAAATTCGTAAAACTCTAGTTTATTTTGTCCGGGCCTTGACTAACCTTCGAGGCTTAGGACGATCGGGTCGGGTACGAGGGTACGATCCCGTCGGAGACCTCGCACTATCGGGGTTCAAGTAAGAGCTCATAGTTGAGCGAAGCACGCGTCAAAGGTATAATCTTTTATCCTTTCTTATGCTTTAAATTATGTTTTGCTTGTTAATTGCATTTATTATGGGGTGGGTCTTGGCGGGTTTTAGTTCGCGTAGTGTGGGTCACTACGAAACCCTACATCACGGTAGTGATTGATTGACCAAGGAATTTGTAATACCCTTTAAAGAATAAAAAATTCTTAAGTCAATCAATCTACTTTTTGAAACCAACCACACAGCCGCTTAGGGGCAAGATACCAACCGGCTTGTTAGTTGTCATATGCAATTAACATGTTAGACAAAAATCAAGGTATATATAGCAAAAATGCAAAAGGCAAGAAGAATTGCAAAATTGAAAAAATGGAACTCAAATTGAGACAAAACCGACTCAGTCGGCTGCTTCATTAATAAAAACCCGACCTTAAGGTCGGGGGAGATACTGTCAAACTGGATCTACATTCGGTGAAATGAAAAGATTGTTGAAAAAATTACACAGATACTCGGCACACAGGTCGAAAAAGCAGATGGCCTAAGGCCAATAGAACAGACTTAAAGCTTAAAGCTGAGGTAGAGCTGCTGACGAGTTCTGCCCATATGGAGGCAGAGTAGACTTCACTGGCGCATCCTCCGCCTGTTGCTCTTCCTCCTCGCCCCTTTCTGGCTCCTCGTCTTTTGAGTTTTCCTCTTTTTGCGCCATGTATCAAACGGCTTAGGCTGCGGCTGTCCCTCCACCCTTGCAGTAAGAACAAGATCTGCATACTGATATCTCAAGGCAAAGACACCCCATTTGGTTCCTGGATGAACGAGGCCCCATGCCATCTTCATACACTCATCGCAGTCTTATTCATTCTCCTCTATGAGCCGGTTCTGTTCAGCCTCTAGAGCCTCTTGATAATGGCTGTTTGAGGTGGCCAGCTCATTCTTCAGACGATCGACATCTGCCTGGAGAGTGGTGTTCTCCTTGTCAGCTCCCTCTAAGGCTTTGAGGTATGACCGGGCATTCTTGAGCTCCGCCTCAAGATCAGAGGCTTTCTTATTCGCCTCATCCAGTGCAGACGTCAGCTGTTTGATGGTCTCCGCTTGCGTCATTAATTCTGCCTTAGTCTCAAGATCATTTATTGTACATTGATATTGGGCAACGTCAGCAAACTCAACCGCCCGGACTTTGGCAGCCCTTACCTCTTCCTGTTTTCGGGCATACCACTTCTTTAGCCCATCAACTCTCAGCATCACCTGTAAGCAAGCAGACGGTAGGATAAGCACTCAACCGGTTATTAACTTGGTAAAATATTAAAGGCTTGAGTTAAGCTAAGATACCTCAGCCAACATAACAGTGATGCGGTCAACGTTGAACGTATGTACCCCAGGGATGACCTCCTTTTCCTCCTTGGATATGGACTTCAGCATGGTCTTGGAATATTGCTGCACGTCCGGCCATCTGGGGGAAAGATCTACAGCACAAGGTAGATTTGGTGAGTAAGCAACATAGGCGTCACCAATAGACTGCCGGCTGCCTGAAGAATCTTTTGATGGTTGAGAACGTGACTTGACCTGCATGGACCAAGGAAGTTCAAAGGGACCAGCCGTACCATGGGAGAAAGGCTGAAGGCTTTGAACGCCTACAACCGCTGTAGAACCGCTTGCAGCGTTGAGTGACACACCGCTCTTCAGCGCATCAGAGGCGCTTGGCTTTTTGGTGATATCAATCCCAAAACCTTTTAGGCTCTTCCCGCCAGTAGACATACGGTCCTTCCCAAGTGGGAGGGTGGGGATCGTCTGGGTTGAAGACACTTTTCTAGACTTGGCCGAGTTTTTGGCCTCGTCCTCCGGCTTCCATTTAATCAATTTTGTAAATGATCTAGGAGGCCCCTTGTCTCCATCTTGGATAAAGAAAATAAATTGTCAGGCACAGTCGGTACATATAGGTATGAAGGAAGAATGATCATGAGAGACGGGACATACCTGATCCTTCTGGGAGGCCGCCTGCTGGGCCTGTTTTTTCTTAGCATTGTCCTTCCTTATTTGAGCAGCTGAAAAGGCAAGCGTCTTGTATTCTGGAAGCATGGCTTTGGCGGTTTCTGCAAGAAAAACTGTCTATTAGATCACCAAACAAGCAAAGTGTAAAAGCAATAAGGCGGCATTAAAATGCCGGATGGTTATTCGACTTACGTTTGTTAAACATGGTACTAAGACCATAGGCGGACAAAAAGCACTCATATCTCAGCCACTCATGCTTTGGTACCCAATTTTTGGGCACAATTATTTGTTTGCCCGTTGATGGGGCATGGTGGTTACCTCAGAGAAATTCGGCTCTATTATTTTTGCTCCAGTCGTCGTCTGGGATGTCGGGCATAGCACACTTCTTGCCTAGCAGCTCCGGCTTCTTATTGTAATGACGATACTCATGATTTTCTCGCCGTTTGGGGGAAGAAACAAGATAGAACTTGTTCTTCCAATCAGATCACTTAGACGTTTTGTCTTAGGTCATAAGGTATTCCGAGTAAGTGGTCAGTTTGTACCACGCCCGCTGGCCGCCTGGGTTACGGCTCAAATAGTGCATCTTTACAAAAGCCTCCCAGCCGGGATGGAGGTTCTGCATCTCCTAAGCGGCGATATAACCCAAAATGTTGACTCAGGAGTTTGGGGTCAACTGTCCCACGTCTAAGCCATATATTTGAAGAATGACCTTTATTGCGTCATGGAGAGGGAAGCGGAGGCCGGCTAAGAATGCCGGCTCATAATAGCCAAAGTAGTCATTGGCGTTCTGCTGGTCATCTTCCCACGCTATGGTGCCCAGCTCAGGCGGCTCCTGGATGGCATAGTTCCCCCCAAGGGGACGTTTCTTCTTGAAATTTTCGAGGCTCGCTTGCATGTTTGCCCTATCCCTGGCTCACACATGAATTTGAAACGGGTCCATCTGTAAGTGTTTAATTTTGTTGATCATTGAGTTGAAATGCTTCAATTTATGCCGATTTTGATGCAATCTGAGGGGTTGTTAGAGTTAGATTTGGTTTTCATTTCTGGGTTTTTATGTCATTGTCATTTTTAGGTTGTTGGCATTTGACATTGTGATGTAGCTTGCTGCTTGCATAATTGAGCTGGTTTTTTCGCTTGCATTCGACTTCTTGATGCGGTTTTCGTTGTTTTAGCTACGAAGAGCTGATTGTTAGGGTATATCTGCAGATATTAGAGGTTTTCTGTAACCTGAACTTTTAATGTAGTTCTCATTTTAAGTGTCGTTCAATTAGTGTAGGATTCTTGCTTCTCTGCTTAGAAGAGAATGAGGATGAGGAAACTTTATGAACTTAAGAACTTATACCTGGTTTCTCTTTAGTTAGCCTCTTTCTGTTAGTTGAGCATGTTTAATTGTTCTTTTACATTCAATTCTGCAAAAGGGTTTATCTTAAGCTGGGTTCGTTTGCAATGGTAAATTGGATCGTTGTTCCTTTTCAGTGTTTGATTGCTGCTTCTCCACGGATGTGTTGAATGAAGATGAGTACACAGAATACCTTGGTGGTATTGTAACACAGCTACAGGACTACTACCCAGATGCCTCATTCATGGTGTTTAACTTTAGAGAAGGGGATCGAAGGAGTCATATTACTGATATATTGTCTGATTATGATATGACGGTTATGAAATATCCTCGTCAATATGAGAAATGTCCTTTACTTCCCCTGGAAATGGTTTACCACTTCCTGCGCTCCAGTGAGAGCTGGCTGTCGTTGGAGGGACAGCAAAATGTATTGCTGATGCACTGTGAAAGAGGTGGCTGGCCTGTCCTTGCTTTTATTCTTGCAGGTCTTCTTTTATACAGAAAGAACTATTCCGGCGAGCAAAAAACACTTGAAATGGTTTCTCAAGCAGGCCTCGAGGGAACTACTTCAGCTTTTGTCTCCTTTAAATTCACAGCCTTTACAACAGATATATCTTCAGTATATATCCCGAAGAAGTTTGTTTAGGCTCTGATTGGCCTCCTTCTGACACACCTCTCATTCTAGATTGTTTAATACTTAGAGTCCTTCCTTAATGTTTATAGGTCTTGTATTGTTTTCTACATCAAAATGTCAATTAATAGTTTTGGTTACCTTTTCTTGAATGCGAGTAACATCAATCTTTGGATGGAATGTGTTTGTGAGCTACTATGATCTTATTGTTACAGAGTTAAAGTTGCGCTTTAATGGTAAAACATTTTGGCAAACTTTAACATTAAATTGCTTTGATGAATTTGATCATTCTTTAGTTTCTAACTTGGTGATTGGTAATGTATTTCATGTGATAGATGTCTTGGATTGCATCATAATTAAAACCTAGGTATCCAGGCACCAAAGTGGTCTAAATCAAACTCTCTCTAACTCATCCTCACTTTCTCTCTGCTCTCAGACAAAGACGACGGTGACTTCATTCTTCTGGTAATTTCATCGTTTTTGTACTCATTTGTTCATTTCTAGGTTCCCTGAATATTTTCCGATTTCTTTGTTTGTAATTTATTCGTTTTTTGTTGTTGATTTTGCGAGTTTTATTGTACTTCTGTTTTTGTGAGGTTATTGTGTGCTTGTTATGTCTGATTTCAATTTTGTTAAAGGTAATGGTATAGACCATTATTTCTGTAATTTGCATGTACACATACAATAGCTATGTTAATAGACTGGAATGAGATGATATAACTATACCTGCCAAGATGAAATGGACAATGAAATCATGGTCTATAATGACTTCATTTATTTAAGTAAAATTAATTATACCTGCCAATTAAATTAATTTTATTTTCTATAGGAATAATATGTTAGGTTGTGTCCCTTTCACATCTAACTTCTAAATATTTCACTCTAGAATTCGTGAGAAATCGCTCCCATTTGTGCTCAATTTATCTTGTTTTTCTTTTATCGAAGGTGATTCTTGGGTTCAGTTTGATTTTGATATGAAAGTTGGAAGTTAAAAATTAAATTAACAAAATTGTGATTTCTTCTACTTATGATTTGGTAAAATCAGTATTTCATCACAGCTCTCTAATCTTGTAGGCTATTTTGCTTAGTTATTTACTTCTGTTTCTAGGTGCCAACAAATAAATTTATGCACCGGAACCCTTAAATGTGGGCTATTTTGTTCTCCTTATTGTTGAGTATGGAAGGAAATAATTTCTTTAAATGAAAGCTGCTTATAGTTCTCTTTCTATAACCGAATAAGGGTTAATTAGAGGGGTTAATGCACTAATGAATATTAGTTTGTAAAACAGAGTAGTTATAATTGGTTTTTAGCATACATAACAAATAACCTATTATTATATATGGAATGAGTGGGTATAATTGGTTTTGTAGCATGCTTTACAAATAATAGGATTTTCTGCACCTTATATATGTGGAGAAATCAGTTGTGTTTATTTTGTCGTTTCCTTTACATCTAGGTTTTTGATGGAAGACATCTACAGAAATCCAAGTCCTCTTCAATTTGATGGCCCTTGTGCTGATGACCAGTATTATATGTGCTGTATCAAGCATCTGCAAGAGGTTTTAGACAAGGTATATGATCCTTTCACTCCACTATCAACTCTTATAGTTTCATGCTTATGTGGTCATGGATCCACCTCGTTGGTTGGAGATTTTGGAGTATAAATGACCTTCTGGCTGTACTCCTAGACACTTAACAGTCTGAGGAATATAGTCTGGCTGGAGATTTTATTTTATTTCTGTTTAAAAAAAGATCAAGGAGTTGTAAAATGACCATCTGTGGTACGATGTATTAGATTCTATAGCCAAGTATAAAAAAAAAAACATACTATCAAAACATGAACATTGCAGCATTAGTGAATGTATAACGATATTGAGTGTTTTATTAGTGGATGGATGGCCAGAAGTCCCATCTGATCAACATTAATCCATATGGTTATGATCATCATAAGTTATTTTTCTTTATGTGACTGCAAGAAATTGACAAAATTTATGCGATGAGTCTGTTTCCATTGAAGTAGCGTTATATACACTCTTGCTGGTTGATACATCTGATTCAGTAGTTTATATTCTAATGTGAACACTAGCTTAGCTTTTGAAAAACTCTTTAGGTCAATGTTTTATCTTTATAAAGATCATGATGTGTAAGTTGTGCTTGATTGCGAGGTTTGTTCTCTGTTTTTGAGGGTTTAGCTACAGAGGAGATTACTTGTAATCAGCCTGAGAAGGCAGAAAAAATGCAGGTCAATTTCTATAGTGTCGGCCATGCGTTAATTGCTTTTAAGCCCAAACTTTTTCCTTGTCTTACTATAAAATTCTCGGTTATTAATTTAATGATATATCCATATAAGCATTAAATATATTATTAAAATGTTATAGGTTTGAGAATATATTATAAATTACATGTTAATTGGTGTTATTAATGCTTAGTAAATTTTAAACTTCCCTTTTTGGTTTTGTTATATGTTATCATTTTCATATAATTTTGAATATTTTTCTAATTTTGAAATTGCAGATGACTGATGCTCTTTGCAAGAGGTGCAGTGTGAGAAAAGTTAGTCTTGTAGATAACTAGATATCATACAAGCTGGTCATGGTGATCACTATCAGGTCAGTATGATTCCTGAGAATCTAATCAATTATAAAGCCATGGGTGCATTTATAGATATTGTGCGTAGGTCATTGGTCAAGCTTAACAGAGGCCACCGACTATAGTAATTCCCCAGGAAATTGACCATTCAAGATTAACATTCATAAAGATAAACAGCATCTGGTTTAGGTGGGTTTAATTGAGGTCTGACATTACAAGTGAGATATTGCAGGAGATTCAAAAGATTTTAATGTCCAAAGATAAGTTGGTTCAATGCTTGAATTGATAGGTTTGGTTCCTGAAGGTGTTGATGTGATGGCCATCTGCTGATTGTAGAAGTAGGCTGTGCATATTCCTAAAGAAGGGTTTTATTGATCATGAAAGGTCTACTAGATTCAATTATGGGAAGCAATTTGGCTCCTCAAACTGTCATGTCAGGTTACCGAAAAATCTTAGTAGTTTACAAAACATAAAAGGGAAGAATTGAGTGTAAAGATAGACCTATCCACTTAGCATATCCAGCAAGGATTCTAAATGATAATTGGTGTCAACATAAATGATGTGTAGCTCAAAAAAGTTCTTCAGTTAAAATGGCATGCCTCTTGACTAGAGTAGAAGGACTAAGGTCTAGCTGAAGGTGTATCTTAAAATGAAGCCATAAAAAAATTCAGTCTGAAGTGTGGGAAAGACACATGCGCTATATGTTCTGTTACAGAAGCGTGGAAAAGCAATGTTGATAAATGCCTTGAAATTCAGAATAGATTAGTCTTTATCACCCTGGTTTCAATCTGGATGGGGTTTAGTATTCTTCATATGTCTAGCTTTGTTCGGATCCCACTATTTTTTGTAGAAGTAGTGAAGTTTTTCTATTCTAAATAATCAACAACAAAAATGACAAAAACTCCCTTTCCTGTTTATGATCCATACTTCTTTCAGTTCTCACCTTTCAGGCTTTCATATAAATTGTTGTTAATATTAGTACACTTTTTAAGAATTTTTAATTGATGTTAATGAGTTAGTTTTAGCTATTGTATTTAAATCATGCTTATGCAAATTGGGATGCTGCTAAGATTGTGAATTAGATTTATTGCGAATTGGCGTTAATTGGGTTTGAGTACAACTCTAATTGCTGTTAATTGAGTTGATTGTTGCTATTGTTTTTATATCATGCTTATGTGATTTGGTATGCTGCTAAGATTTTGAATTCAATATCGCGGTGGATCGTGGCAGTGAATTGTGGCAATGAATTGGGTTTGACTATCACTCTAATTGCTGTTTTTTGAGTTGATTTCAAATCATGCTTGTGTGATTTCGGATGCCTGATAACTAAGTGGATCATGCTGGTAAATTGGGTTTGAGTTTCTGGATTGTTGCCATAGTTCCTAATCATAAAGGGAGAATTTAGGGCCAAATTAGGAGGAAGGGATTGTTGTTTGTAACTCTTTATTAACTGCTTGCTGTTGATATGTATTTTCAACTTGGGACAGGAATTTAGTTTTGGAGAGGATTGTGGATCTTTGGGTCAAACCTGTTGATCTCTTTCCTGATTATGATCTAAATCGTCTATTGCGAGACTACAGGTTTGTGTTCAAAATCCAAACTTGGGGACAACAGTCCTATCCAAGTGATAAATTTACAAATCATGTGTTTTCAATTAAGAACTTAGGGTGACAATTCCATGGGAAGGGATATCATAGAACAGAGCTTTTTACTACTTGGTGCTATGTATCAATTGGCCGTGCACTTGATCTTCCTGTATATTTTGGAGATGCTGGAAGTCGTGAGGTACAACAAATTTCCAAGCTATTCAGGCTTGTTGCATACTCTCATTTAAAAATCTTTAATATTTTGTGTTTAGGTACTTCATAAGGTTGGGGCTGAAAGAGCTTGTGCTGCAGCAATAACATTGGACACTCCTGGACATCTGGTGCAAATTATAGAACTGTGTGGGCTTTGAGCAAGCACAACCCTTGACCAATGATCTGCCACTGAAGCTTGACCAATTTTACCCGGTGGACTTGTTTGGAATAAGAAACTACAATAATTCAATATATAGACATTGGTTGCTTATCTCTTATTTACTTGGACTTTATGGAACTCCAGTTCTGAGCTCTTTATATTATATTTTGTCCATGAGAACAGCTGGGATTGTTTTTTGTATAATAATATTTGGCATTGATTTCTATGGAAGTTAATTCTATATACAAGGAATTAGGTTCTGATTTTTTAATAGATATCTTGATTTGAACTTGAATTCTTTCCACCAAAAAATGCTAGAATTATATCTTTTCCTGCAATCAAAGTATCAAAATCTATTTTAAGCAATCTTAAAAAGGTTTATATGTCATATTGTTAGTAAGCTCATAAGTTTTTCTCTTACCTTGTCTAGCCATTGCTGGTTGTTAAATTTATGTTTTGTATTTTAATAGCTAATCTATTTGTGCTATGCAGAAATTGCCTCAGTATCCATTGCCAACTCTTGACCTTGTTCTGAGAGGTCTTATTCTAACTGATTTTGAGTTTTGAAATTGAAACACTTTTCCCTATTCATCTGATTCACACTATATAGTCTCGAAAGACTGACAATTTGTCTGATTTATATTGTAGATAAATACAGTTGCTTATGAAATACAATTTGTGCATAACTGTCATTCCTTTAAACTCCCTCTCCCAATATTCTATCATCGACTACCAAGCAAAGGAGTTTCTTGCTGCTTTGAATCTGGTTCTAATAAAGGTATACAACACACAAGCAATAAACATGTTATATTAATTATATTTAGTTTTAGATCTAAAATTAATGTTTTTTATTAAAAAAATGTATAATTCATGGGATTATAGGTTCTATGCCGATAGCTGAAAAGAATTTTTTCAATAAGATAATGCCTGTTTTAATTAGTTTGATTTTAGGGAGATTAGAGTCTTTTGTTATAGTTAAATAATGGGATAATAGATTCAATTTGTATGTTATTATTAAAGAAATCAGTTTTAATGGCGACAAAATTTAAATTGTCTAAAACAGTAAAACATTTATACTTTTCATTCTTGATTTTTTTTTAAAGATTACTAATATGTTTGTGTAATTAAATCTTTAGTTTTGATTATTCTATTGTTGTTGCAGGGATAACAAAATTTATATGGCTTTAAAGGAGAAAAAGCTCTTCTATACAGCGGGGATTGATTTAAAGATACAAAATAGAATTGAATCGGAGTTGAGTGTTCAAATTTCAAACTAAAGCTGTTAATTGATATAGGAGCATCTATTTATTTCTACTATGTTAGTTATTGTACGTTAATTTTCGTTTTTTAAGTTTCAGCTTGTGAATTTTATATATGATAATAAAGCTCATTTAGTTTGAACTTCTATTGAATCATATGTTTAGATTTCTTCTCACCAAACCAAAAAAAAAAAAAAAAATTAGTTTATTATTTCTTCATTCGGATTTTATTATTCTCTATTTCAATTTGTATACAAAATTTATATTGATTTATGTTTTCAAAGTATGATTGGCCGTAAATAACGATGACTCTAAAAGGGGCAGCATATATATATATATTTTTTAAAAAAGGAAGAATAAAGAACAATTGGCTTCAACAAGTGTTCTCTTTGCTATATCATTACATAACGGTTAAGTAGGATATATATTGCATATTCCTTCTTTATTTAAGAATTATTGGAAGGGAAAAGAGAACGGTAAATTGATTAATAATATATTTAGAACAAAAACTTCAACATTTAGAATCATGATGTAGGGGGAGGGAGTGGGAGGTAAAAAGGAGAAGAAGAGGGAGGGAGTGAGAGAGAGAGGGGAAAAGGGAGAGGGAGAGTAAGGCAGAGAGAGAGATAGAGAGAGAGAGAGAGAGAGAGAGAGAGAGAGAGAGAGAAAGAGAAAAAAAGGGACATGGGAGAGAGCGAGAGAGGAGCATGGATAGAGGGATGTGTCAAGAGAGAAGAAACCAAATTAGAGAAGGGGCGGGAATGAGAGAGGGGGTCGAGAGAGATAAAAGGGGTCAAGAGACAGAAAAGGGCCAAGGGGAAGAGGGCAAGATAGGAGAGGAGAGGAGGGGCACACCTGGAGCGGAGAGAGGTCAGGAGAGAGAGAGAAAGAAAGTGGGGTTAAGAGAGAAAGATAGAAAGTGGGGTAGGGAGAGAGATAGAGAGTGAGAAAAAAGGTCCGGGAGTGAGGAGCCGGAAGAAGAGATAAAGATAGAAAGAGAAGTTAGGAGAAAAACCGAGTGAAATAAATAAAGAGAGAATGAAAAACAGGGCCACGAGAGAGCGATAGGGGCGAAAGAGAAAGAAATAGAGCAATAAAGGAAAAGAGGGGCTGGGAGAAAAAGAGATGGGCCGGGAGAGAGAGAGAAGGCCCGAGAGAAAATGAGATAAAGAGGCTGGAAGAAAGAGGCAGATAAAGAGAAGCTAAGAAAACTAAAGGGGACTAGGGAGAAGGGGGGGGGGGGGGTTGGAGGAAAAGGGAGCAAGTGTAATCTATAATTTTCAAAACCTTTTAGAGGATGGAATAGGGACAAGAAAAGTTAGAAAGAAAGAAAGAAAGAGACTAAGAGAAAGAGTATAGGTTCATGGGCGCGCTAATAAAGGAATGAATGAGTGATATGAGACCAAGTTTGATCTATAATTTTCAGAGCCATTAAAAAAAGTATGTGGGGGGGGGGGGGGGGGAGGGGGAGAGAGAGAGAGAGAGAGAGAGAGAGAGGGGATTTAAGGCAACAAAGGAAGGAAGAGGTGAGAAACAATTCAAGAGACCATTTTGAGTGTTTAATTGTGGAAGAGACTTAGAAGCTATGGAGGAGGAAATGGAGAAAAAAAAATGGGAATATGAAATAAAGAAGGTAAAATGGCGATGGGTTTAAAGGAAGGAGAAAACGATGAAAAACTCTTTAAAGAATCATCTTTAGTAGGAATCAAGGAGTAGGTAATTAGTACTTTTCAAAAAGATTTTAAATAATTTTGTAAAATCATATAAGTCAAGTATTAAAATGTAAAGGAAGATGGAAAAAGGTGAGACTGGAAATCAAGAGAGGGCATGCCAGGGGAATAGAGGGCATATTGGGAAAGGAATTTGTCAGTGGTGAACAAGTGTTACTTATAATTTTCAAAGAAATAGCCGGTAGACAAGGTAGGGGAAGATAAACAGAGAAAGAGAGGAGAAGTTTGGGACAATAATGGAAGGAATAGGTGAGAACGAATAAAACATGTTAAGAGACCATTCTTAGTGCTTAATTGTAGAAGAGACACAATGGCTACAAAGGAAGGAGAAAGAGATAAAGGTAACTGTAATTAGAAGACTATTTTTTATAATGTAATCAAAGAACAGATAAATAGTACTTTTGAAAAGATTCTAAAATTTAATAAACCATATAAGTTAATTGTAAACATATAGAGGAAGATGGAAAAGAAGCGTGCTAAAATAGGATGGCAAGGTTCATCGAAACATTATTAGAGGAGAGCAAGTGAGAGTTGGGGGATGAGGGTGGGAGTTAAACGCAAGTAAAGATTATCTAAATAAATTTTGCAAAATTATAAAGTAGAGAAGGAGGAGATAAGGATAAAATAAAGGAGAAAGAAAGAGAGATATGGTCACTTAATTGCCGATCTTATTTGCTTAAAACTTAATATTAATGTGATACTTTGTATAGAAAGTCAAATTGATTAATAACACATTTAGAACAAAAAATTAAAACTTAAGGTAGAATTGTGATAGAGGGGGAGAAGGAGTGGGAGACATAGAGGAAAAGGAGACGAAGAAAGCTGAGGGAGATAAAGAGAGAGAGAGTGGCCGAAAAAGATATAGGGCAAGGGGAGAAGGAGAGAAAGGGAGAGAGAGAGAGAGAGAGAAAAAAAATAGGACATGAGAGATAGCGAGAGAAGGGTAGGGAGAGAAGGACACATCGAGTGAGAAGGAATGAAGTTATAGAAGGGTCAAGAAAGAGAGATGAGGTGAAAGAGAAAAAGGGGCCAAGTGAGAGAAAGGGGGCAAGGGATAAAGGGCAGGCTAGGAGAGGAGAAGAGAAAAGAGGATAGGCTAGGAGAAGGCAAGTCAGGAGAAACGAGGGGTCATGAGAGAGAAAAAAAAAGTGGTCAGGAAAGAGATAGACAGTAGAGTTGGAAGAAGAGAGAAATAGATAGAAAGAGAAAGATGAGTTGGGAGAAAAATAGAGTGAAATAAAGAGAGAATGAGAAAGATGACCACTGGAGAAAGATAAGGGTTGAAATAGAAAGAAATAGAACAATAAAGGGAAATAGGGGATGGGGGGGGGAGAGATATATATAGATAGACGGAGTGGTAAAGGGAGAGAGAGAAGGCTCGGGAGAGCAAAAGGGAGAGGGAGGCCAGAAGAAAGAGGGAGATAGAGAGAAGCTTGGAGAAATAAAGGGGCCTGGGGAGAGAGGGGGGCCGAGGGGAAGGGAGCAAGGGTAATTTATAATTTTACAATCTATTATATTTTCATTTACAAAAAGTAAAATTACAAGATATTCAAAGAATTTTACAAGATCTTTGACCCATAAAACCTTTTTAAAATATTTGCAATCTATTTAATTTTCTTTTTCTAAAAAGTGAAGTTACAAATATCCAAAGAAATGTACTACCTTTCTGATAACACATAGATAATCATAGCTAATATTTAACACTTTTTACATAGAGAAAGAGAGGGAGTTGGGAGAGAGATTGTTGAGAAAGAGAAAATGGCTAGGAGAGAGAAAGAGGCCATGGGAGAAAGGGATCGGAGAGTGAGAAAAGGCAAGCCTAAATAGAAAGAGGGCAGACTAGAAGAGGAGAGAGCATTGCGCGAAAGGAGAAGGGTCAAGACTCGGGAGAGAGAGAGAGAGAGAGTGATAGAAAAAGGGACCAGGGGAGAGGAGTCAGAGAAGAGAAAGGAAAATATAGGGGTTAGGAAAAAAATTTGAGCTAAAAAGAGGAGAGAGTGAAAGAAAAAAAAGGGGCAAGAGAAAAGACAACAGTCAGAAGAGAAAAAAATAGAGAAATAGAGAGAGCGAGAAAGAGAGGGTCCGGGAGAGAGAAAGATAAAATGATATAGGGATAGATGGGTTGGGAAAGAGAAAAGTGTCAGGAGAGCAAGATAGAGGAAGGCCAGGAAAACAGGAAGATAGCAAAGAGAAGCTAGGAAAAAAAAGGGGCTGGTGGGAGACAGGGAAAGGTCAGGTACGAGAGGTGGCAATTGCAACCTATAATTTTTAAAGTCATTAAAAAAAGAGGGATCAAAGAGACAAGGTTTGGGGGGGGGGGTGTACAGGGAAAGAGAGAAATAGAGGTTTTAGAGCAATAGATGATGGAAGAGCTGAGAAGCATTTCAAGAGACAATTCTTAACGTATATAATTAATGTTTTGTGTTAAATTATGTAATTTATTACTGAACTAATTATATAATGCTAGTACCTTTGAGTGCAAATGTGAAAATTTTCCTTTTTTCCCCTTCTATAATGTAATGGGGAATTAGTTAGCGTATTTAGTAATTAGCATTCTTTATTAGGAATGTATATAAACAATTCAGTTTGCATAGATATGTAATTCTAACCACATATCCTACACCTACAAGTTATTTTTAAAAGCACCCCCTAAAAAAAAAAAACACTCCCTAAATTAGGTACGTATATTACAAGTAAATTAAGTCAAAGAATATACATTCATTTTAGCATTACACATATGCAAATAACAATTGTTTAATTAGTTTATGGCCTTCTAATTACTCAATCTTCCATTAAGCATTTTGATTGATATGATTACAAATAAATCTGCTGCTACTGTTACAACTTTTATTAGTTTAACAATAGAAAACATATATGCCTCAATCAACAATTTGAAGCAAACTTACCATTGAATAAACACAAAGCATACATAATTAACATCAAATTATCTTGTACAAGACATAAACAAAACATAGAACACCTTTTTTAAAGCAAAAATTCACAATTTAATAGAAAGAAATTCATTACTAATTAACCACTTCAACTTTCATGATCTAAATAAACATATGTTAAGATTAAAAAAAAAAAATATTAAATCTTCGACTAATTATGTACTAAGTAATGTATTGTGTAATTCGACAAGATGGTTCAAATTTTAAATTGACCTATTGATCAACATCTTTCATTCATTTACCAATATTAATTTTACCAATTTTAGAAACCAAGATAGATTTTTTTTTTGTTTTTTAATAATCATCAATCATTTTTTTCGATTGGTTTTTTTCGATTTTCCACTTAGCCTTATTCCTAATATCTTTTACATTAGTTCATGTTTTACCAAACAATAATGATTGCTCATTTTATACATCAAATTAATTGACGTAATTTTTGAACAATCCTTTTTACTAAAATAAAAATTAATCACGCATTCTTCTTTTAAAACAAAAAACTAGCATTGAGCCCGAGCGATGCCCCGGGTTTATACGTTAAATATTCTTTACTTCATATTATAGTATTCATGTATTATAATAATCTTAAATACTTTTATTATAGATTTAGT